GCCTGTAGTTCCAGCTACTTGGAAGGCTGAGTCAGAAGGATCACCGGAGCCCAGCAGGTCAAGGCTGCGGTGGCCGGGAGTGGCCACTGCACTCCAGTCTGGGTGACAGAGTTTTTTGATTTATTTGTAGAGACAAGGTTTCGAGAAGTTGCCCAGGCTGGTCTCGAACCACTAGATTCAGGCAGTCCTCTCATCTCTGCCTCCCAAAGTGCTGGGATTATTGAACCCTAGCTTAAATGCCTCAGCAGCTGTACCAGATCGCAGCCAGCCACTGCAATTTGCAGGTGAAGTGTGCCCATGCCAAGTATGCCCATGCCATCTCTGCTGTTTGCTTTAACACACATTTCTTTCTTTTGAATTGGAGTCTTACTTCATTGCCCAGGCTGGAGTGCAGTGGAATGCTCATGGCCACCCCAGCGTTGACCTGCTGGACTCAGGCAATCCTTCCACCTCAGCCTTCCAAGGAGCTGAAACTACAGGCACCATGCCTGGCTAATTTTTTGATTTATTGTAGCAATGAGGTCTCGCCAAATTGCCCAGGCTGTTCTCAAACCCATGGGGTCAGGCAATCCTCTCACTTAGGTCTCCCAAAGTGCTGTGATTACAGGCTTGAGCCACCGTGCGTACCTTACACACATTTCTTTAATGTTGAATTATTCCTTTCAGAACTAGGACTGGGAGCCCACACCTTTAGATAAAACAGAGGAACTTGTTATTCTACACTTGTTTTGAACTCAGTTAATTTGGGCTGAGATATGGTGAGTGGGTTGAGGTTCACCGTACAAGAAGGAGGAATCTTCTAAGCAAACATCACCTTACCTTTGTAAGTACAATGTAGTCCAAGGGCTTGGTAGCTACATAAAGTGAGATCATGGTGGTAAGTGAACCAAGACTGAAAGAGTATCAGCAGCTGCCTGAGGACTCCTGGCTACCAAGAAGCCAAGCCAGGTTATAGACAGCAAAGTGTAGGAAGGCCTGACCCTTGGAGTCACACTGGCCTGGCTTCATTCACATCCAGGCTGTGCTACTTGCCAGGTGTGTGATATTTTTGTTGTTGTTGAATCAAGGTCTTGCTCTGTCACCCAGGCTGGAATGCAGTGGCATGATCATGGCTTACCACAGCCTTGACCTCTTGGGCTCAGGTGATCCTTCCACCTCAACCTCCTAAGTGGCTGAGACTACAGGTGTGTGCCACCATTCCTGGCTAATTTTTTTTTAGTCAGAGTCTTACTCTGTCGCCCAGGCTGGAGTACAGTGGCACACTCATGGCCACCACAACCTCAACCTGAGAACATCCTTCCACCTCAGTCTTCCAAGTAGCTGGAACTGAAGGTGTGCACCACCATGCCTGGCTAATTTTTTGATTTATTGTAGAGGTGAGGTCTTGCCAAGTTGCCCAGGCTGGTCTTGAACCCATGGGCTCAGCAGTCCTTTCGCCTTGGCCTCCCAAAGTGCTAGGATTATAGGCGTGAGCCACTATGCCTAGCCCTGGCTAATTTTTAAATGTTTTGTGGAGACAAGGTCTTGCTATGTTGGCCAGGCTGATCTTGAGCTCCTGGGCTCAAGCAATCCTCCTTCGTCAGCCTCCCAAAGTGCTGGGACTACAGGTGTGAGCCACCACACCTGGCCCAAGCATGTGACTTTGACTGTGTTACCTAACATCTGAGTCTGTTTCCTCACAAGTACTCATAGAAACAGGAACACCTTCTTCAAGGGGCCGGGGAGCCTGGAAACAGTAAGGTGCTGGCATGTTGCAGCTCCTGGCACACACTGCTTCCTCCCCAGCAGTTTGAGGCTATACAACCATATACTTGTCTGTGAGAAATAAAAGACTTCGGGACAAAGATTCCAGCAACAATTTACATACAGTCAATTGGACTTGTTAATATCATTTTGTTGAACTGGGAAATACAATCCTACGTTTCAAAATTCAGAATGTGCAGAAAGATGTATGGTGACAATTCTCCTAATCCTGTTCCCTGTGATTCCCTTTTCCTCCCACAGAGCAACTGCGTCACCAGTCTCTTGGTGTATCCCTCTAGAGACATTATTCCCAGGTAGTTCTTGCCGGCCTTCCCCCACCACTGTGTCTTGGTGATCCTTCCGTGTCTGGGTGAGGAGCTCTGCCTCCGTCACAGCCTCCCTGTGGTCCAGCGCATGGGTGCAGCAGTTTATTCCTCCCTCCCACCACGGGCATTTAGGTTATTTTCTGTCCTTAGCATTTGCAGACATTGTTATAGCGAATTAAGTTTTTGGCATTTCAAATGATTCTTTCATCTTTTGATGACAGCATACCTCTCAAGGACTTTGTTTAACCTAGCTCTAACTTCTCTGTGTACTTGAACATAAAGGAACTATTCATTTTAAATTAGTGTATGATCAAATTTTTTTCTCATATATTTGAACTAGCTGTCTTCTGCAGGCAATCTAGATGTCTGCACTTTTATGGAAAATATACCAGTCATTCTCTCAAGCATTTATGTAGCACCTAATATGTACCAGATCTTGTTCTAGCTGCTTGGGACAAAGCAGTGAACAAAACAAGACGTCTGCCTCTTAGGAGCCTATGTTTGGCAGTGGGAGAATGGCAAGAAATGTAATATATAAATAAGTCTTTAAGCCGGACTCGGTGGCTCAGCCTATAATCCTACACCTTTGGGAGGCTGAGGTGAGCTGATTGCCTGAGCCCGTGGGTTCGAGACCCGCCTGGGCAACTTGGCAAGACCTCATTTCTACAATAAATCAAAAATTAGCCCGACGTGGTAGTACACGCCTGTAGTTCTAGCTACTTGGAAGGCCGAGGCGGAAGAATCGCCGGAGCCCAGAAAGTCGAGGCTGCAGTGGCCCAGAGCCGCCACTGCACTCCAGTCTGGGTGACGGAGTGAGACTCCAACTCAAAAAAAAAAAAAAAAAGTCTTTATACAGTATGTTAAAGGTGGAAAGTACTATGGGAAAAAAACAAGCAGGGAAGACTGGACGTGGTGGCTCAAGCCTGTAATCCCAGCACTTTAGGAGGCCAAGGAGAGAGGATTGCCTGAGTCCAGGGGTTCGAGACCAGCCTGGGCAATTTGGTGAGACCTCATCTCTACAATAAATCAAAAAATTAGCTGGGCATGGTGGCACCCACCTGTGGTTCTAGCTACTTGGAAGGCTGAAGTGAAAGGATGGCCTGAGCCCAGCAGGTCGAGGCTGGAGTGCAGTGGCTGTGAGTGTGCCACTACACTCCAGCCTGGGCAACAGAGTGAGAATCTAACTCAAAAAATAAATATATAAAACAAGCAGGAAGACCCAGGGTGAGGATGAGTGTTCAATTTTAAATGGGTGTTCAGGGTATAGGTATCACCTGGAAGTCGACATCTGGGCAGAGGCTTGAAGCAGGTGAGGGAGCAAGCCACACAGATATCTAGGTTCCTAAGGGGCAGAGGTGTTGTTCACTGTTTGATACCAGAACAGTATCTGCTAAATAAATACTTGAGTGAATGACTACTACATTTTTCATAAAAGAGTAAAAGTTTAGGCATTTGGATTGACTGGCAGAGGGAACAGCCGGTGCAAAGGCTCTGAGAACAGTGAATAACCATGGTGGAGAGAGGAGGGCAGGTCCGATCAGGTAGGGCCTTATAAACCATCTGAAGTGTTGGCTTTTAACTGAGTGAAATGGGCATTGCGGGAGAGCATGGAACAGAGGAGGGACATTTCCAACCTTAAAGTATCGCTGACGGCTGCAATGAGAATAGACTAGAGAAGAGGTGAGTCGGGAAACTGTCACCTAATCTGGGCAAGAGGCAGTGGTGAACCTTTGCAGCGGAGGTGCTGAAAGTGGTCAGTGCCTGCCTATAGTTTGAAGGCAAGGCCAAGAAGATGTCCTAGCAGATTGGATATGGGATGTTAGAATGAGAAAAGGAGCAAGAGTGACTGCAGAGCTTATGGCTTGAGCTACTAGAAGGATGGAGCTGCCATCACCTGTGACAGGAGGACCATGGGAAGAACTGTGTGCACAAGGGTCCAGATTTAAGTACATTAAGTGTGAGATGTCTACATGACACCCAAGTGGAGATTTTGAGTAAGCAGTTGACTGCAAGAGCCTGGAGGTCAGGAGAGGTGGGGCTGGAGATGTATTCATGAGAATTGTCACCCTGGAAATGGTACTGAAAGCAGGGAGGCTGGGTGCAGTCACTCCAGAGCGTCTAGGGGTTACTAGAGCACTCAGGCAGCTCAAAGGAGCTCCTGACAGCTCATTTTCCTCCCTCCTCTTTTACAAATCTCTGGGTCCATTTGACACTTCTTTTACCTACTCCCTCTGCCCATCCCTGTCTCAAGACTGCCTGTCCCTGAAGGGGACAAGAAAGTGGCATGTCTATAAGCTCTGTTTGGGAGGAGAGGAGCCAGTTGTCTTGCTCTAATGAGATGTAATGAACCAAATGGAGGTAGCCTAGGCCCTCCAGCAGTGTCCAGGGCTGGTTTCTCAGGTGTTTTCTGACATCTCTTCTATCTCAGAAAACATTTTAGGCATGGGTGAAGTGACTTAATTCCAGTAACTTTGGAGATAGGCTGATTCCCATAGAGAAGAGATGGGTGGAGGAAGCAGGGAGATGTTTGTTACTCAAGCCGTGAAGAACCTCAGGAGAGTTGGAAGCCCAACATCTAAGGTAGGTCAGGATGTAGGCATCACCTAGAAGCAGACCTTTTGTCTGGTTTCTGGTCTGGCTTGAGCTAGGTTGGTCTTGGACTGCTCTCTTGCTTTCTCTCTTTCTTTCTTTCTCTCTTTCTTTCTTTCTTTTTCTCTCTCTCTCTCTCTCTCTCTTTCTTTCTTTCTCTCTCTTTCTCTCTCTCTCTCTTTCTCTCTTTTTCTCTCTTTCTCTCTCTCTCTTTCTCTCTTTCTCTCTCTCTTTCTCTCCCTCTCTCTCTCTCTCTCTTTCTCTCTTTCTCTCTCTCTTTCTCTCCCTCTCTCTCTCTCTCTCTCTCTTTCTTTCTTTCTTGAGTCTCACTCTGTTGCCCGGGCTGGAAGGCAGTAGCATGCTTCTGGCCACTGCAGCCTTGACCTGCTGGGCTCAGGCGATCCTTCCACCTCAGCCTTCAACTAGCTGGAACTACAGGCATGCACTACCACGCCCGGCTAATTTTTTTGATTCATTGTAGAGATGAGCTCTCGCCAAGTTTCCCAAGCTGGTCTCGAACCCATGGGTTCAGGCCATCCTCTCACCTCGGCCTCCCAAAGTGCTGGGATTATAGGCGTGAGCCACTGCGCCTGGCCTGGGGTGCTCACTTTCAAGAGTCTTCAGAAGTCCCCAAATGGTTTGAGGTCATCTTGTGGTCCCACTGGAATGGGTGCTAGAGAGGAAAGCATACAGGCTCCAGATGGAACTGGGTCTTTGAGGAGAACAGTTGATGAGACAGCGAGAGGGCGCACAGTGGGACCTGGGTACCATCCCATTTCTCCAGGTTCATTCAGCCTGCGACTGGTGCCCTAGGTATTCCCTGTGGGTGAATCAGTTGTTCATTTCATGCCATCTAATCACAGCATTCTCTGTCCTGCTGTCTGACATCAGCCTTTCCTAGTTGAGGGTCAGTGAGGGCCTCTCTCAGTGCCTTCTTCCCTGATGGAACCCTTAGCCTGTCACTAGGGGGCGCAGCCCGACCAGTTTCTGGTCATTAGGTCTGAACTTTGGGTGAATTTTTGGTGTGATTTCCTCCCTTCCCCAGCAGCCTCTGCTCATTAAAAAAAAAACAACAAAAAAAGTACCAGGCGCAGTGGCTCAAGCCTGTAATCCCAGCACTTTGGGAGGCTGAGGCAAGAGGATTGCCTGAGCCCAGAGGTTCAAGACTAGCCTGGGCAACATGGTAAGACCTCATCTCCACAATAAATAAATAAAAAATTAACCGGGTTTGTTAGCGTGTGCCTGTAGTTCCAGCTATTTGGAAGGCTGAGATGGAAGGATCACCTGAGCCCAGCAGGTTGAGGCTGTGGTGGCCAGGAATATGCCACTGCGCTCCAGGCTAGGAGATGGAGTGAAACTCCAATTAAAAAAAAAAAAAGTAACATAGAGAGTATAAATAAGGAAAGAAGAATCAATCACCTATTATTCCCAGATTAGTTTTTAAAATTTCAACCTATTACCTTTATTCCTATGTCTATACACAATTGTCATTGTTTAAAAAATTTAAATGAGACTATACTGAGTACATGTAAACTTAGAAACGTTTCTCCAAAATAAAAAAAAGCAGTAAAAAACTTGACTCACAGGTCACAGGTACTTGCAGACTCTGATTTCCTCTGTGGGAATGCTCAGGGCTTGAGAAGTTTCTGGCCTGTGCTGGGGTATGGTTGTTGGTATTATGTTGCACGTACTAGAAATTTGAAAATTTGGGAGGAAAAATCTGTGCTGACTTATGCTAGCTTTGGTATAGGAGATATCCTTTGCAAATGATTGGCTCTGGCCCTGTATCTCTGAGTTCACAGGGTATCAGGGTCACTTTCCTTCTTTTCTTCCCCACCAGGCTGGGCTTCCTCTCTGAAGCATTTGAATTGAATTTTAGTCCCTGACTCTCTGCCTCTCCCATGTCTCTGTTATTTGTAACTCACGTCTCTGCCTTCTCAAGAGGTTCAAGACTGTGTTGTGTGTTCCCTGTGTCAAGGCTGTAAGTCTCGCCTTCCTGTCATAGGCAGCCTCTGCCTGGGTCTTATTTCGTTAGGGGCAGAGACAGGAACGTTGCAGAGAAGATGCTTCCCAGGCTTCTAATTTTGCAATGAAAGAGATGCTAATAATAGTCATTCTTACAGTGGGCACAATCTTCTTCCTTATGCCGTTGGTATTTTGCTTTATTTCGGCTTTTGCTCAAAGGACGACTCTGGAGCCGAGAAGGAGAATGCCTCTGTCCTACAGCAGAACCCCTCCTTGTCAGGAAGCCGGAATGGGGAGGAGAACATCATCGATAACCCCTATCTGCGGCCTGTGAAGAAACCCAAGATCCGCAGAAAGAAGTGAGTTGAAGGCTGGGGTCCAGAGAGGCTTCTGGCTCACCAAGGTGGTCTTCTGTGTTCCATAGTGGAAAGAGGCTCCCCAGTGAGTGTGAGCCTTGGGGAAAACCACTCTGGTGAGAAGAAATCCTTTCCCTTTTCCTGTCCTTCCTTGGCTCCCACATATACCTCTCGTTCCCCAGTGGTCGAGCGGCCTGCAGCCTGGGGACCAGCCCTCACAGCCCTGGAGCTGTTCTCACCCAGAGGGAGAGCGGATGCCGGCCCCACCAGGCAGGCTCCATCGTTCTTCTTCTTTCTAGGTCCCTCTCATGAGCTGAGAAGAAAGCCTGGCTTGAACAGAGGCGGGGACACCACCCTCTTGGGGAGTTAGAGCCACCCAAGGGAAGAAGAGAGGGTGACCTCCTCGTGGCCAAGCCGTGGCTGTGGGATGTGACTGGGCATGATTTTTATAGTGAGCCTTATCTTAATATGACCTAATTTCACTGGATGTTTGGGTTGAGGAAGATGCGATGGTAACAATGAGGCATTCTTAATTGTTCAGGCCATACTGTGGGACGTAGCAGTGTAGCGACTTCATTTGTCATCACAGGATTTGATTCCTTTGAAACCCAGAAGAAAAGGGAAAGTGTTAGGACTAAGAAGGGTTCTTTGCTGCTTTGCTTATGACCAAGAAGACTGTTTGCCCAGTGTGTATTCCAGGATTTCTGTATCCCTTTTATTGACTCACAACTTGTGGCACCAATTTATCATCCCAGAACCTTGTTCTTATTTCTCTCCTCACCTGGGTCCCCAGTGCTCTGTGGAGCTGATGGAAAGTGACTTTGCGTTCCCTCATCATGTTGGAAATAGCACACACACGTCACAGCTTTGATCTGGAAGAGCATTGATTACAGGGCAGCATTGATCCTTTGGTCAGCATTGGATGAAAACTCCCTAAAGTGGGCAACACTCTTCTGAGAAATTGATCATTTCTTGTTCCTCTGAGGGCTTCCTGCCCCTCCAGGGAAAAGGGATTTCTGTGACAAGAACCTAGCATGCTGGCCATTTCACACTATGACTTGATAAAGGAGCCATCAATTTCAAACAATAGGAAAAGGATTTGGTGGGGCAGGAGTGAGATTTGAGGGCTGGAGTTGGCCTTGTATTCTGAAAGCTGAGAAACCTGGCTGGCATACTGGGAGGCTGGTGTGGACAGAAGGCCATGTTCCCACCTTATAGCAGAAGTGGGCTGTGAAGAGCCTTTGGGCCAAACCAAGGTGTTCTCCAAGAAGCAGGTTGGAGTGTGTTCTCCCTCCTGGGGAAAACAGAACCTCATCCTTGATGTACCCACAAACCAAACCAGAAAACAAATTAAGGAAGATACTGGGCAGACCGATATCCTTTGGCTGGTCTCCGAAGGAAGAGCTTTTAAAACCAATTCCAATGAAGAAAAATGCAGCAACACCTGGAAGGTAACACTGGATAAATAAGCTGTTCCCTGGGTTAGAATCCCAAAGTCCATGTCTAACTTTTTTTTTTTTTTTGAGTAGGAGTCTTACTCTGTTGCTCAGGCTAGAGTGCAGTGGCACGCTCACGGCCACCACAGCCTGAACTTGCTGGGCTCAGGTGATCCTTCTGCCTCAGCCTTCCAAGTAGCTGGAACTACAGGTGTGTACCACCACTCCCGGCTATTTTTAAAACATTTATTGTAGAGAAGAGGTCTCACCAAGTTGTCCAGGCTGGTCTTGAACCCCTGAACTCAGGCAATCCTCTCGCCTCCACCTCCCAAAGTGCTGGGATTACAGGCATGAGCCACCATACCCGGCACAAGTCTAACTTTACTTAAGCTCCCTCAGCTTCCACAGTCATCTCCTGGTCTTCCATTTTCTTGATGAACTTGAAAACTTGAAACACTTGGGGACTTGACAGCAGGCTCACTTTTCCTGTGGCCTCTGTGTTCTCTAGGGCACTCTGTCCCTTTGCCTGTGGGAAAAGAGCTGCTTGTCAGGAATTGAAGAAGAGGCGCTGGTGAGAAAACTGGATTTCCCAACTCTGGACCAAATAGGCGTTTTTCAGGTTTGAAGTGACCTGAAGCTCTTCTGGTTGAGAGCAGTTAGATGCGGCCCGTGCAGACTCCTCAGAGTTTGTGATTGAGCTTTTGGTGACTCCTGGCCTGCTGAGTGTATACAGACAGTGCCAGGTTCAAGCCATGCCTGATGTGGCTTGCTTTTCTCACTGCTCTTGGGAGCTGTCATCCCAGTCAAGGTTTCTGTACTTCCTCGCTCATTACTGTCCAAAACAAGCACCTGTTGAATGCCTTTGTGCTAAGGGACAGGTGGGATTTGGAAAAGGCTTGCCATTTCTGCTGTTGAGATTTCAGAGGCTGCACTCCTGACTTGTTCTGGATGGGAGGCAATGGGAAAGGGTTATACAGCGTGAAACATTGACCCACCTGTTGTTGTATAAAAACTGTGTAATTCTCAATGCATATTTATAAATTTCTATTTTTGTATAACTTTATGGGACTTCTTACAGGGAAAAAGTCACAAACAGAGGCAGATTAAAAATGTGATTTATAAAAACCTCGTAATAAAATTTCATAATAAAAACTTTGTCAACAAATAGAACTGTAAGCTTTGAACTTAATTTCTGTTCAAAAGTTACAGCAATGTGGACAGATAAGTAAGGCTTATCCCTTCTGTTGAAATAAGTACACCTGGGAACTTTGTAAAATTGTTATTTTTGGAAAATTTTTGTTTCTTTTTTATTTTTATTTTTTTGAGTTGGTGTCTCACTCTTTCACTCATGCTGGAGTGCATGATCACAGCTACCACAACCTCAACCTGCTGGGCTCAGGTGATCCTTCTGCTTCAGCCTTCCAAGCAGCCGGAACTACAGGCATACACCACCATGTTCAGCTAATTTTTTGATTTATTTTAGAGACAAGGTCTTGCCAAGTTGCCTGGGCTGGTCTTGAGCCCCTGGGCTCAGGCAATCCTCTTGCCTTTTGCCTCCCAAAGTGCTGGGATTACAGGCATGAGCCACTGTGCCCAGCCTGGAAATTTTCAAACACAAAATTAGAGAGGAAAATGTATGAACTTCTGTATATCTCTCACACAGCTTCAACACTTAGCCAACATTCTGTTGCTTTTTATTTCATCTATTTCTCCCACTTTTTTCCCTGTGTTTTTTCCTCTCTGGAGTATTTCAAATACAAATATCAGACCTATGTCATTTAATCTGTAAATGTGTCAGTATGCATCTCTGCTAGATCTTTCTTGAAAATTGTTATTTTGAAATAATCATCGATTCACAGGATGTTGTAAACAAATGTACAGAGAGGTCCTGTGTACCCGTCATCCACTTTCTCCTGGTGGTAGCATCTTACATAACAATAGTGCAATATCAAAGTCACTGACATTGGTACAATCCACAGATCTTGTTTGGATTTTGCCATTGCACATACATGTGTGTTGCATATGTGTATCTGTGCAGTTTTGTCACATGTGGATTTATATAATCACCACTGCAAGACCCAGAACTGTTGCGTCACCATGATTCTCCTCATACTGTCTCTTTATAACCTTGTCCACCTTTATTCTTCCACATCTCTGACTCCTGGCAACCATCTCTGTTTGCCATCTCTAGTTTTATTAAAAGAATGTTGTCCATGGAATCATAAAGTAGGTGGTTTGTTTTTGTTCTTATTTCTTTGAGTTGGAGTCTCACTCTGTCGCCCAGGCTGGAGTGCAGTGGCATGCTCACTGCCGCCACAGCCTCAACCTGCTGGGCTCAGGTGATCCTTCCACCTCAGCCTTCCAAGTAGCTGGAGCTACAAGCATGTGCCATCACGCCCAGCTAATTTTTCTTGATTATTGTAGAGATGAGGTCTCGCCAAATTGCCCAGGCTGATCTTGAACCCCTGGGCTCAGACAATCTTCTCACCTCGGCCTCCCAAAGTGCTGGGATTATAGGCGTGAGCCACTGCACCCGGCCATAGATAGTTTTTTTAGGTCGACTTTTTTCATTCAGCATAATTTGCTTGAGCTCCATCCAGGTTGTTGTATGTATCAGTAGTTGTTTCTTTTTATTTCTATGGATTTGACGACCTATAGTTTAACAGTTTGTCGAGCCACATATCGAGGGACATCTGGGCTGTTTCCAGTTTGAGGCTATTGTCAATAAAGCTGCTGTGAACACTTGTGTACAAGTTTTTTTTTTGGTGTAAACGTAAGTTTTTATTTCTCTGCAATAAATTCCTAAGAATGCAATTGCTGGGTCCTATGGTAACCTCATGTTTAACTTTATAAGAAACTAATAGCCAAAGCACTGTACCATTTTTTATTTCCACCAGCAATGTATATGTGCTCCAGTTTCATCACATCTTCATCAGAATTCAATGTTGTTATTATTATGGCCATTCTGACAGTTGTGTAATAATTTATTGTTATCTTAATTTGTATTTCTTTTAATGACTAATGATGTTGAGCATCTTTTCATGTGCTTGTTGTCTGAATATCCTCTTCAGTAAAATGTTCTTTTATGTCCTTTGCCCATTTTCTAATTGGATTTGTTTTTGTTTTTGAGATAGGTCAAAACCCTTCATGAGGCTGGAGTGCAGTGGCACAATCATGGGTCGCTGCAGCCTTGAACTCTTGGGCTCAAGCGATCTTCCCACCTCAGCCTCCCAAGTAGTTGGGACTGTAGGCACTCGTCTCCACACCCGGCCAATTTTTAAGTTTTTTGTAGAGATGGGATCTCGCTATGTTGTCCAGGCTGGTCTTGAACTCCTGGCCTCAAGCGATTATCCTTCCTCAGCCTCCCCAACTGCTGGGATTTATAGGTGTGGGCCACTGCACCAATCTCATGAAGGGTTTTGACCCCTTTATGAATGATGGCCCTGTAACTGATTATTAAAGAGGCTAAGGACTTCCTGGTGCACAGAGAGTGAAGATCTTGGCAAGGGAAATGCCAGTGAGCTCTCTCACTGCCCCTTGGGGCCCTTGGCAGACATGAGCTGAGACACTTTTGGTCTTATCTAAGGTGGCATTTCTATTGGATTAAATGCTGTGCTCAGCCAGGTGTGGTGGCACCCACCTGCAGTCTCAGCTGCTTGGGAGGCTCAGGCAGGAGGATCCCTTGAGCCCAGGAGTTTGAGGCTGCAGTGAGCCATGGTCACACCACTACATTCCAACCTGTGCAACAGAGTAAGACTTTGTCTCAAATAAATAAACACATAAATAAATAGTTTTTTAAAAATCTTGTGTTCCAATAGGAGTTAGGCTGCTCAAACAAAACATCCCCAAGTGTAGTGGCTAAGTCTGAAAAGCTGGGCAGGTGGTCTAGGCTGGCCTGGTGACTTGGTGGTGTTGAGGCCCCTCCTGCCTCTTAGCGCCTCTGTCAACTCAGCTGCTGCTTGCATGATGGAAGGTGGTTGCCACCCCATCTGCTGGACCCACATTCCAGCATGCATGTGAAGGAGAGCTCTCACCCTCCTCCTAAGAGCAAGACCCAGAAGCTGTCCCCTCCGAGCCACACGGCCCC